GAGAAAACAACAGAAAAGTCAATGAATGACCGAGAAGAGAATAAGGAATGAAAGGCACAGAAGACGATAAAGAATAAAAAGGAGGAAACAAAATATGGACTCAGAAGAGAAAAACAAAAGGAAAATGACTGAGAAGAGAATAAGGAATGAAAGGCACTGAAGACGATAAAAAAAGAGGATTTCAATATGGACTCAGAAGAGAAAAACAAAAGGAAAGTCAATGAATGACTGAGAAGAGAATAAGGAATGAAAGGCACTGGAGACGATAAAGAAAAAAAGAGGCAACACAATATGGACGCTGAAGAGAAAGACAAAAGGATAGTCAATGAATATCTGAGAAGAAAATAATGAATGAAAGGCACTGAAGACGATAAAGAAAAAAGAGGAAACTCAATATGAACTCAGAAGAGAAAAACAAAAGGAAAATGACTGAGAAGAGAATAAGGAATGAAAGGCAGTGAAGACGATAAAAAAAGAGGAAACACAATATGGACTCAGAAGCGAAAAACAAAAGGAATGTCAATGAATGACTGAGAAGAGAATAAGGAATGAAAGTAACTGAAGACGATAAAGAAAAAAAGAGGAAACTCAATATGGACTCAGAAGAGAAAAACAAAATGAATTCAATTAATGACTGAGAAGAGAATAAGGAATGAAAGGCACTGAAAACCATAAAGAAAAAAAGAGGCAACTCAATATGGACTCAGAAGAGAAAAACAAATGGAATTTAATGAATGACTGAGAAGAGAATAAGGAATGAAAGGCACTGAAGACGAAAAAGGAAAAAAGCGGCAACTCAATATGGACCCACAAGAGAAAAACAAAAGGAATTCAATGAATGACTGAGAAGAGAATAAGGAATTAAAGGCACTGAAGACGATAAAGAAAAGAAGAGGAAATTCAATATGGACTAAGAAGAAAAAACAAAAGTAAAGTCAATGAATGACGGAGTAAAAAATAAAGAATTAAAGGCACTGAAGACGATAAAGAAAAAAAGAGGAAACTCAATATGAACACAGAAGAAAAAAACAAAATTAAAGTCAATGAATGACTGAGAAGAGAATAAGGAATGAAAGGCACTGAAGACGATAAAGAAAAAAAGAGGAAACTCAATATGGGCTCAGAAGAGAAAAACAAAAGAAAAGTCAATGAATGACTGAGAAGAGAATAAGGAATGAAAGGCACTGAATACGATAAAGAAAATAACAGGAAATTCAATATGGACTCAGAAGAGAAAATCAAAAGGAAAATCAATGAATGACGGAGAAGAAAATAAAGAATGAAAGGCCCTGAAGACGATAAAGAAAAAAAAGGAAACTCAATATGGTCACAGACGACAAAAACAAAAGGAATTCAATGAATGACTCAGAAGAGAATATGGAATGAAAGGCACTGAAGACGATAAAGAAAAAAGAGGAAATTCAATATGGACACAGAAGACAAAAACGAAAGGAATTCAATGAATTACTGAGAAGAGAATATGGAATGAAAGGCACTGAAGACGATAAAGAAAAAAGAGGAAATTCAATATGGACACAGAAGACAAAAACAAAAGGAATTCAATGAATGACTGAGAAGAGAATATGGAATGAAAGGCACTGAAGACGATAAAGAAAAAAGAGGAAATTCAATATGGACACAGAAAACAAAAACAAAAGGAATTCAATGAATGACTGAGAAGAGAATATGTAATGAAAGGCACTGAAGACGATAAAGAAAAAAGAGGAAATTCAATATGGACACAGAAGACAAAAACAAAAGGAATTCAATGAATGACTGAGAAGAGAATATGGAATGAAAGGCACTGAAGACGATAAAGAAAAAAGAGGAAACTCAATATGGACACAGAAGACAAAAACAAAAGTAATTCAATGAATGACTGAGAAGAAATATGGAATGAAAAGCACTGAAAACGATAAAGAAAATTGAGGAAACTCCATATGGACACAGAAGAGAAAAACAAAAGTAATTCAATGAATGACTGAGAAGAGAATAAAGAATGAAAGGCACTGAAGACGATAAATAAAGAAAGTGGAAACACAATATGAACTCAGAATAGAAAAACAAAAGAAATATCAATGAATGACTGAAGAGAGAATATGGAATGAAAGGCACTGAAGACGATAGAGAAAAAAAGCGGAAACTCAATATGGATACAGAAGAGAAAAACAAATGGAATTCAATGAATGACTGAGAAGAGAATAAGGAATGAAAGCACTGAAGACGATAAAGAAAAAAAAAGAATCTCAATATGGACCCAGACGAGGAAGACAAAAGGAAAGTCAACGAATGACTGAGACAAGAATAAAGAATGAAAGTCACTGAAGACGATAAAGAAAAAAGAGGAAACTCAATATGGACTTAGAAGTGAAAAACCAAAACAAAGTCAATAAATGACTGAGAAGAGAATAAGAAATGTAAGGCACTGAAGACGATAAAGAAAAAATAGGAAACTCACTATGGACCCAGAAGCAAGAAACAAAAGAAAGTCAATGAATGACTGAGAAGAGAATAAGGAATGAAATGCACTGAAGACCATAAAGAAAAAATAGGAAACTCAATATGGACTCAGAAGGGAAAACAAAAGGAAAGAAAGAAGAAAGTGAAATACTAAGAAACGATGAATTACAGACTGAAAGAATAAAAATAAAAATGGAATTCAAGTTAAGAAAAATCACGGGAAGAATTCTTGCAGAATCAGCTGTTTGATACGCGGCACCCACGCTCGACCACCGTTCCGCCATTTTTCTTTATTAGAATGAATTTCCCTTTATCCACATGCATTCACCCTGTTCAATCCTTCTTTACGCTTGACACCTTCATGTCCCGCCATTATTGCTTAGCTTCCGACACAAAACAACTTCCTTTTCACTCTAATCTTGACATCACTACTGACCCTTCCCTTCTCCGTAATTACTCCTATTAAGCACTTCAACGCTCTTTTCTTCACATCATATTGCCTCGCTTGTTACATCTTCTTACAATATATTCGATGTCAAATTTAAATAAATAATACAACAAAAACTGCTCATTTCTTTATAATTAAACCCAAGATTGTTTTGTTTTTTTACAATAGCAGTAGTTTTAGCTGCAAAATAAAAGTGTATATTACTTTCGCGCCTATTTATTGTATTTCATTGTGCTGTTATATACTTCAGTCTGTTTTCATCTGAAAAGAACATGGAGTTTTCTGTTTATACTCAGGTAATATAATTACTAATTAGAAAAGCGCTAATAATTTGTGGCAAATACACCAAATATCATATTAAATAGATACAATAAAATGTCTTTAGCCAAGTAAACATAAAAGGCCTTATGAATTGAAAGTGTGATGGTTTTTGTTTTGTTTTTACGCTACGAAATTGTCAATGTACATTGATTTATTCGAACTATTCTCTTCATTTTCATTGACAAAGATGTCATTTCAGATAAAATGCTTCCACCAAATCCCTTCGATTCACCTCCGGACACGCTGCGTTAACCAAATGTCAAAACCGTTTAAAAACCAGATTTTAAATAACCTCCAAAATAAAACACAGGTTGTAGCAAAATGAATACAGGCGTTCATTAAAAGATGTTATCCTCCTCTACTGGCGATGAGTTCAATACCTGAATCAGGTAGTGTTGTCTATATTCCCCGGTTCAATAGAAACAATCAAGAAACGGTATCACAGAAATCAATAATCAACAAATACAAGATGTCCCCTATCAGTCAAAATTAATGAACACCTGAAGATGGCTATCGCGTACTTGGCAGAATCTTTGTGTCTATAAGATCTATAACAAGTGAAGATGTAAACAAAATTTTGAATACATCAAAGTATACTGTCTGATAATTCTCCTGGATAATAAAGTGAGAAACGTATGATATTCTTACAATGCCATTGTCTTTTGGGAAAGGCTAAAAATTAGATTAAAAATAAGATAATAAATGATTCTGTCATTGTCCAAACTACAACCAGCTCCTTGAATTGATCCAATTCTCAACTAGGGTCTCCTGTTTTATAATGAGTGCAAATTAAGTGATACAACTGAAGATCCTAATTGAGAATTGTTTGAAGCAATTCTCTCGAACTAGATAACCGATTCTCTTTTCAGTTTAATTTTCTTACAGTTATCATTATTTACAATTGTTGAATCCATAAACAATAAGTTTTATTTTTCGAGCATAAATATTGATGGACATTCTCAGCAATTAATCTAAATTAAGTCCTAACAATTTTTATGCTGACCAAAACAATAATTTCGCCCAATCTTTTGTTTATTAATCCTGCATGAAAGATATCTTCGGATTGCACCTAGCTTCCTATCAACTATTCGGTGATTTTCGTATTACTTTTTATTTTTGCTTTAATTTATTAAAATAATTCATTTTATTTTATGACTTTTATTGTTCGAGTCATTCGTTTTGATTTTGTTAATTTTATTTTGGTCTTGTCATTTACTAGTTTACCAGGTACCATCGACCGCCATTAAACTCAGTTTTATCTCAATTTGTGGTTACAGAGTTTATAGTATGATTACAAACGTATAAGGGAAATTACACTCTAAATAACATTTTATATACATGGAGTTATCTCCGTTCAAAAATCGAGTCAGTCGGGGTGAGCGCGTATGTAATTATAAAACTATTATGAAGTTGTAAAGAGGACGGGAAATTGCTTTATTCTCCAATAGAGATCAGTTTAACGATACTGCGCTACCAAAAATTGCCCTACAGTGTGCTGTCTTTGCTTGCTTGAGTGATTCGTTTTCTAGAACTTAACAACCCTTTTTAAATTATTTTAAACCAAAAAATGTTTTGAATTGTAAAAATTTCGTGTTTGAAATAATAATGATTTAGCGATACAAATCTTACTAATTACACCATAGTTGGGGGAAGAAGTGGTGGATTCATACTTTTTCCCATGGGCATTTGCGTGTAAGTGCATATAACGAATCCAACTGGGATTCGACTCTCCAAGTGACAATTTTGAGGCATTATCCATTACACCACTCGCTTACCGCACTTGATATTCCCAAGCGGTCACCCATCTAGCTACTTACCAGGCTCGACGTTGCTTAACTTCAGGGATCATATACGAGAAGTGGTGTTTCAACATGATGTAACCATAAGCCTGTCTTTGCTGTTTTCTAATTAAACAATACAGAAATGAGTACATTATAATACAGAAATATTTGCTAATAAATAAGAAAAACTACTTTATTATTTGCATTTAATATTCTTTGGGTTATCTCTCTTGAGTAATCGTATCATAATATAAATTATTGGGGTGAGCACAAATACAGATAACACACTAGTTAAAATTGGAATGGGCATTTATTTGTTCTTCATATTAGTATTTCAGTAATGCGCTAACAAAAGTCTAGTTACCATGTGACGTTTATGTTGTTAAAATAACAAATTCGTAAACAGAAATCACATTAGTATTATGTTGATGATGACTATCACTATCATCGTCATCATAATTCCCAACAGAATTTTTACTTGAGTCGCTGAATCCCGAAGTAAAAATGAGTGTCCAACTCAATTCCAAATAATCTCTCCGTTCTCTGTTATGTCAGAGACAGACAGACAGACAGACAAACAAACAAAGAGTAGATTTGAGATTTGTGTCTTTACAATGAAACTTCTGGATTATTATCATAATTATTATTCGTATTAGAATATAAGGTGTGTTGCTAATGGATTTCAAGATGCAAACAACTTATCCTCTAATAAGGATGAGTACAAATAATCGGGGGAGACACGGTGGAGTAATGAACAGTAGCTTAGACTGAGGAATCGGAGTGCCGAGTTCGTATTCCAGTCGAATCCATTACATTCACTTACGTGCTAATACCCTTGAGTATTAGCACATAAGTGAATCCTCTTCTTCTCCTCCCAGCTATGGGCAAGTAGCAGGAGAGACCTGGTTTTATAATAGCAACTGGTCTACCGCAGAAAGAAATGGCAACCTACTGCGGGAAAAAATCTGCCTCATCAGTCATGTAATAAAAGATCTTTCGATACATGACTGACGAGGCAGATTTTTCTTTCGATACATGATCGCCTAAGCAGGTATCACGTATGGCACATAACTGACCAATAAACAGAATTATTGTTGCTGAAGCATTTTAAAGTTTCTGTATGTTTGCTACACAAATATGGGAATAAATGGATTCAAATGGCCCGCCAAAAGTACCACTAAAATTAACATAATGTACACTTATTTCATTGTTTAATTTTATTTATTCTCTCTTATTTTCATTTGTGTTTTCTCTGTTTTTACTTATTTATTTCTTATATTTCCTTTATTTATTCACATTTTTTTGTTTGTCTTATTTTCTCTCTTTTCCGTCCCTTTTTATTCTATTCTTTCTTTCGTTTTTTCTTCATTCTTTCTTTCGTTTTTTCTTCATTCTTTCTTTCGTTCTTTCTTTCTGACTGTTTTCTCTTCTTTCCCCATTGTTCGTAACGTGTCACATTTCCTTCCAATCATCTGTGATTCGTCTATTTCCGGTTTTTAATACAAGCCGTTGTTCCGCCATTTTTGCTCGTGTTCCGTTTCCGGTCCTACGGCTTGCCCGGGTCAATCCCTTTTTCACCTCCAGCGGGCCCCTGTAAGCCTTAATGATAAAATATAAGAGGACAAAATAAGAAATATTATAACGAGAAATTTCAAGCCAGAGACAGAGAAAGAATTTAATTGAAACACTGGAGGAAGAAAGATAAGAGAGAAATAAAGTGAAAAGTAAGGAAAGACAATCGATTATCAACGTCAAGCTACATGGAAAATAGTTATATAAATGAATTTTTACAGGGTCAAGAGAAACTGAAAAGTGATGTAAAGAGAGAGAAACACGTTTAAACAAAATGAAAGAAAAGATTAAAGCACTTACCAATATAGTCGTACTGTTGTTCTTTTTTTTTTACTTTTCTTTTTCTTTTTTTTCTTACTCTTTTGATTTTTCTTCTATTCTTTTCATTTTCTTTTATTCTTTTCATTTTGTTTTTCTTTTCTTCTTTAATTAGTAGTTCAGATCAAATTCTGATTGGTTAAAAAAGTTATTAATCCATAGGTGTTCATAAAATTCTGAGAAATACTCGTTAAAATTTGAAAATCAAATTTCAAGACATTTAGAAAGAAAGAAATCATCTATAAAATATTTAAAGTAAAGAAAACATTTGTATTTAATTTGATAAATTGTAATTAACTTGATCGTTTTTATTAATATTTTAATAATTATTCGCGCAATTCTCGGGAAAGTTTATCAAATGTTTCATTAACAAAAAGTTTTATTTGATTTAATTTCAGTTATTCTCTGCACACGGGAATGCATTGCCTTACAGAGACACAAAAATATATAAGAATTTAGTGAACTTTATTTGTGATCTGACATTAATTCTTATTACTATAAAAAATCGGATTGTGAAAAGAATCCATTAATTCTTTACAAATTTGTTGACATTGCAGATATAGGCTTCGAAAAGTTTGAACGAAAGGATGTGTGCATTAAAAAGGGTGAGTGACCATTGATTTACTGTCAAGTGTTTCGTGGCTACACAGTCTAAAGCACACCTAGGTTAAAGGTGATTTCTCCACTATGTCAGTGACGCAGTTTCGATTCTTGCCCAAAGGCATACTTTTTATATTAAGACTTATCCAATATTCAGACCAGAAGGACCTCAATTATACTGCTTTAAAAAATAAGAAAACAAAAACAGAATCTCTTCTCAAACATGAGTATCCACCGAATAAATCATTTATAGCAACACAAAGATGTTTGCATACAAGTATATATCTATATTGGAGTCGTTCAGTTTCAACATCGTTAATATCCGGGTTTTTTTTTTAATATTCATACTTGAGAGCATAATGAATAGTGTAGATAAAACTTTTTTTTAAAACTGGGCATAAATTAAAAATACTCCGTTCAACTCAAAAATATAGCATCAATATATTCATTAAACAAATAGTTTATCTTTAAGTAATTTTCTATTTTCTTAGGTTTTGTAATACTTTTCTAAATCTTTTAAATTAAATCTTGTGCAACATTTACAAATTAGAAACAAAATTCCAATATCAACTGTGAATTTGAAAATCATTCTTTTCAACGTCTCCGTTTCCATCTTTTGTATTAAATATAAGTGCCGTCTGGAAGAGTGAGGTTTGGGTGAGAATTGTTCAACTTATAAAATAAGTGTGCCAGTACAAACTAACATTACGCTGGGAATTTTTTTATTTAATAAACTTGCCGATTGGAATAATTTTACTTGAAAATATTTTTGAACCAAATAAGGCATCATGTCCGGCACTTGTATTTGGTTCACAGTAGTAAGTCGCATTAAAGTATTGTTTCGTTGAAAAAAGAACCCAATTAATGTTGTTAGTCGTTCACAGACTTAACATATTAAGTTACTGAATCGAAAAAGTAATATGACTGGATTTCCCCAATTTTTTTTTCCATTTGGCGCGTAGTCAGAACGAAACAGTGAAAAACACTTTGAAAGATAGAAACGTAATGTTAAGCATAAAGATTAATTTAAAATATTTTTAAACAATTACAAAAAGGGTAGAAATGTTTATTACACATACAACAACCACACACACACACACACACACACACACACACATATATATATATATATATATATATATATATATATATATATATATCTGTGTATACATATAGATATATATAATTTGTAGTTTAAAATTTACTTTAATTATGGTAGGTATTGATCAGTATCATGATAAAGCTTAGGCAGATGTATAAACTGATCAACACTGCATTGTGACTGGCAGTTTCGCGCCTTAAATGATCATCATACTGTCGCTTAAGGCCGGTCACCATGTAGTGTTAATTTCGATGTCCAGTAACATAAACGATTTTAATAAAATGCCCAGGACATCTACGCATGCGCAACAACCACTTTTATTTCCACGTTTTGATACATTTTGAAATACAAAGAAAATCTCGCTCTGACCAATACGCTATTACTTCAAAATTCTGAGATTTGGTCATTTGTTCAGATTTTGGGGAATTGATCGGACCGAGGACTTTTCAGCACACCCTCATAATTTCGCCTGCTCCTATAAAGATAATGAAAATAACTAAGTTTCTGTATGTATAAACATGCATCTTACTCTTTGTCTGTCTGTCTGTCTGCCTCTTTCTCTCTCTCTCTCTCTCTTCTCTCTCTCTCTCTCTCTCTCTCTCTCTCTCTCTCTCTCTCTCTCTATTCTTTATGAATATAGAATAAAAAATAGCCACTCTAATCTTGCTTCTATTTTTTAATCTGTTAGTATCTTTCTGACAATCTATTTCTCAGGCGATTTCCTTGTTGGTCCATCTATCTATTTATCTATCTGCTTTCTTTCTCACTGTTCTCCTGCCCCAAGGGATATGTATTCAGATCCAACTGACGAACGCTGTTGCCACGCCCATTCCGTTACCCCCCGTTGCCCTTCTTGTTGCCAGGTCCTCCTCCTTGCCGGTCCCATCTTAACCCATTGCCTGTGTCGAGAAGATTTGCATCTGGCCAAAACACACTGTTCTTTTGTGCGTTATTTGTCACCGACACAGAATGGCAAAAAGAATGGAATAATTTTGAGATTTCTTGTCTCCTGTTTACTATCGAACCCCGTCAAAAATACAATCCTGTGCTTTTCCGTCAGGCACCCAAGAAACGGGTGGGAAAAAGAGACGGGTGGAGAAAGCGTTGTGAGAGAGGGACGAGGCTCTGTTGTCGACACGTTTACCCCTTGCTGATACAACGTGTACGTTGTGTTTCAACACCATCTCTGTTTTATTTTAGTTTGCGAAGTGTGATAAAAGATGTCTTGTTTTGGGGTGCGTTTTTGTTTTCTCTTTTTAATCGCTGTTTTGTTTTCTGCCGTCGTTTTAGAAAAACATTGATGCAATCACATATTCGTAGCAACGACCGTCTGCCTATTTGTCTGCTTCAATGTCTGTTTGTGTATTTTTCTGTTTGTCACTCTCTCATATTCCACTTTTGTATAAACTGTGTGAACCGTTGAGATGTGTAAAAAAAAAAAACTTTCTATTTACCTTCCGATTGCCTTTCATTTCTTTCTTTTGTTTTGCTTGTTGAAAGTTTCCTTTT